TATATATATATTTTTAAAAGACAAGGCATCAGGCCACTCCTTTAATAAAATTCAACTTTAAATGCTAGTAATAAAAATAGTATAATTTATGAATAGTAAACATTGCATAATCATGAATAGTGCATATAATTACAGCAAATGTCAAAGCAAGCTACAAAAATATGTTGCACATCTGTGCAATATGTGCACATTTCCCCATGTTTTAACCCCTTTAAAAAGTAAATGTAGAAGACCAAAAGATAGCAATTAAGAGAAGTTCATTGTTAGGGTTTACATATACCATTTGCTCAGAACAATGAATGTAGAAGCTATATATTTACAGGAACGCTATCTGCTGGAACCTGAATTATGGCAGCCTGTAATAATGTCAGCTTTTCTGACTGATGGTCATTTTTCAAAGCCTACATTAAGTACATTAATAGCAATGCAAGTAATGCAATACTATAACAGCAAAGAGGTTCAACATCTAACGCCAAGATTTTGTCCCCCCACCTCTGGCCAATGAGGAACTTCAGTCTAAGCAACTTAAAAGTGAACCTGCACTTTGCCCAAAATCACACCTACAAAGGGCAGTGTTAGCTTCTCCATACCTCATGTGACAGAACTCAGGCCTGGCAAATGGCCACTAGGGCTATGGGGTGGCAAGAAGAGTGTCAAATGTAACGTCATACCCTGATGTAAAGGAGCCAAGATTCAAGTTTGTAAAAACCTTCTAAACAGGCCCACACATGCACAGTACACTCTTCATTCAATCCTATGGAGAGTTTGCACTCTGTGCTCCAGTAAAATACAAACTCTCCAAGGAAATGGAGTCTGCACATGTGGATTGCACACGTGTGGGCTTGGCTCAAAAGATTTTGACAAGTGATTTGACAGCTTTGTAAATAATATATCATAGTATCAGGGACATGTGAGAATATACTTGCATGAGGGCTGGGGACAGTAAATTTTTCAATCGTTTTGGCTGCAATACATTAACGTTTTGTAAATTTTCATGATATTAACAATTTAAAATAAGTTCCTTACTTTTCTCCATAAAACTTTTCAAAGAATTTTTCTTTCCAAACTTCTGTCTTCTTTTCCTTTTCAATTTCTTGTCTAATTCGCATTTGCATTTCTGGAGTAAATTCTCCTACAAAAAAAAACCAAACAAACCATGAAGACTTTGTCAAATTTCTAACTCTATTTTGCAAAGTAGTTATTACAATCAAATATAATGAAATGTCTTATACATGTGTACTAGGGATGTCCTAATACTAATATCAGTACTGATACTGGGCATTTTCAGGACTACTTGTAGTTCTGGGAATGCCTCGATAGTAAAGGCCGATACCGGCTTGTGGGGACCTCGGCAGCCTTCTGGGGACCTGGCTGTAGCTGTCCTCGGCAACGCCTGTCTGGCCCCATATCTCCTTCTCGGTGCAGGAGACACCTGCCAAGGACAGCCCCGCTTGACACAAGATTCAGCATGACAGCCAGACCACTAACATTTAATATAAGATTTACCATGGCAGCCAGGCCACAGACTTTTTCAAAATGAGACGTCAGCAATGGCCTATAGAAGTAATCACACACTCTTACCAGCAACCTACCCCCACAAAAAAAACAAAGGAAAGCAATTTAAAAACGATTCATACTCGAGTCACTTTGCTAAAAATACAGTTACTGTGAAAAACTTGACAGGACATATGTATGCAGGCGATTTTGCACCTCTTACAGTATGCTTACGGCTATATCAACCTGCATGTGATTCACAGTAATTGTATGTGAAACATTTTTAATTTTCAGGGAAAAATAAAATAATTTAAAAAAATCAGAAATAGGCAAGCCTTTTAGAACATGCCCAGTATATGGCAAAATAAATAATACAATTGAAGGTTATGACAACAATATTCGCCCAATAATATTAACAGAAATCAAATTATTAATTGTCTAATACATTTCTAACGAACCCTATCACTATTAAAGAAATACTGTTTACTTACCTAAACCAGTCTTCATGAGAGCTCAGCTGTAGCAGAAAAAGGGGAGATGTATGAACAAAAACCCCACCAATGGAAGCATCATTGGAAGCACTGTGTAAACAAAAACCCCACCATTGGAAGTTTTGCTCCAGCATGCTGAACAGCTGGGCAGGCATTCCGCTGGCAGCCTTGATAGTGGCACCAACCTGCTTCTTTGATGCCAATCTAATGGTTTCATGAGGCAAAGTCAGTGGCCCTGCTACTATGGATGCTGCCATTATGACTAACGTGGTCCACGAAGTAATAGGAGCAGGAGAGATATTGTTTAACAAGATTAAACAGAGTCACCACAGTCTCTTCTCCGCGCTGGTGTCAGCTGCAACTAATCATAAAGCAACTAATCGATGATGAGAACTGTTGCCAACGATTTTCATTATCGATTATAATCGATTTAACCGATTAGTTGTTGCAGCCCTAATATAATGTTATTAAAAATGACCTTTCCTTTGAAAACTGTAGCTGCTGTAACATTCTAAAATTGTCAATAAATACAATGCAATATGGTGACCTGGGGGAGTCCTGTATATAGTTGGTGCACAGAACGCCCCCAGAAATGTCACTTCCTGCGTCTGTGATTGGCTGACTGATTTTCTCAGAAGTCTGTACTAAGATACAAGTATAATTTTCGGCATCCCTTGCAACAGGAATTTCATTTTTGGTGAGATACTCAACTAAGAGTTAATTAGTATTTTGAAGAAAAAAGGTTTCAGCTTCAAGTCTGAAGTGGAAGCTTTTTCTTCATTCAGACCGGCTTCTAACAGGTTACACAGCAGGGAAAGCCTCCCCGTTGTGTAACCTGTCATGGACAGAGCGCTGTCTGTTAATTACAAGTGGCGCTGCATCCAGCTTTTGACAGCTAAGTTAGGTTACACAGCAGCGGGCTTCCCCACTGCTTGTGCAACCTAACATAGTGAGGCAAGAGCTCCAAAAGCCTCTACATTGTGTTAGAGGCTTGAGCTCTGTGGATGGTTTGGACCAATAGCAAAGTGCCATTATTCCAAGCTATCCAGTCAATAAAAAAGAAAAAAACCCACTGAGGACATCGATCTTGATGCCGCACCAGTGAAGAGCAAGTGAGGGACAGGGAGGCTCCTCCCCGTCTTCTCCCTCCTCCACACATAGCTTGGTGACTGGGTTGGGGGGCGGGGCGTCGGCAGGCTGGTGGCGGCCCGGGGAATGCCTAAACCAAGACCAAAATGTACTGCACCTCACTGATCAGCACACTTCCACCTGCTGATCTCCCTCCGATCTCTGAATGCAGTGTGCATCTCTGCTATGCCAGAAAAGAAGCAGATCTGTGCTTCATCAGCTTCATTGGGGGGTCCCTAGATAACATTAGGGGTCTTATAAACCCTTCATGTCCCATAAAGAGGACCTGTCACTGTATATTTGCTAACACATAGGGAGCTTGTTAGCCCTCTATGTGATAGCAATAAAGTTTAGCGTAAAAAAATAAGTAAATAAATATAAAAATTACATATAAAAAAAAAGTGTAAAAAACACCTTTTTTTAGTCCCCCACCCAATGTGACCCCATCTTTTATGTTTTACAAAACATTTGGGTGATAAATGTTTCACAACATAATGTAGGGAAAAGTTGTTGTTTTTTTCAAACTTTTCGGTACTTTTTTTTTTAAATAGTAAAAAGAAAAAAAGAAAAACAGTGGTGATTAAATACCACAAAAGAAAGCTATCAGTCCCAAAAAAGGACCTGAAAATTAATTTTGGTAAAGCATTGCACGACTGAATAAATGCCAAAGTACTGCAATGCTATATACGGACAAATGGCCTGGGCAGTAGGGGGTTTAACATTCCGGTCTTCAAGTAGTTAATTTTTCTCTTTTTAACCGCGCTTTGGTCTTTTAACCCTCCTCCTCATCACCAATCCTATGGTGCAATGCTATCAAAGTGAGAATCCCTGTGAACAATTATATATACTACACTTACAGATTATAGTGCAGTGTAAGTGTAGTACATATTCAAGTAGTTAATGTAAGGAAACCCCAAATTTAGAAGTCTCTGGCCTGTTACCTGCTCCTTTGTTTACATATGCTAGTGAAAGAAACCATATCTCACCCCTTGTGTGCAGTTGTTAGATAGGGAAGCTGGCTTTCTGTCAGACTGGACATTATCCATTGCAAGCACACTAGAGGCAGGTAAGCAGGAGTTGTACCTAAGAAGTTAACACTAAGTTGTCTTATAAAACAGCATTTTTTGCAATAAAGGTACAGAAGGGTAACTAAACCCTTTACAAAGGTAAAGTACGCAGTGACTATTATCTTCCAGTATTAGAAATTAATGTAGTTACCCTTTAAATATAAAGCTCATATATAAGATATCAAGTTCTGCAGCTGTGTGTATCAAATACATAGCGATGTTAGCAAAATTAAATAGACAACGTTTTACCTTCTGATAGTCTCTGCTTCCAGCCTTGCGCAGCATATGCAAAGAATTCATTATTCAGAGCAGAATTGCTAAGACGTAAAGCCCCATCACTTCCCATCTGGAAGGGGAACAGAAGAAAAGTTATGACTGAAATGCCCTTTTTGTAACTGGAACCATTTCTCTATGCATAGCAAAAGGTCTGTTGAAAATATTCAGCCATAAATAACCAACACATATTATACAGAAATTGCTAACAATTTAAGCAACATTAGCTGTGTAGCCAGAGTGAAAAAGCCTGCAGCAATATATGCCATGTTGTTATATGTAAAAAAACTATTGTGTTTTAATGTATAAGCGTAACACAAAATCTCAACAGTTTTATACCTTTAAATTCATATAAATATGGCATGATCTTACTTACAATCAATATATTATTAATATACGCACAAAATAAATGTAAATATCCCTTCAAAAAGGGCAAATCCAGCAGTGGTGTACTAAGTTACACAAAAGGTAGAGCGCACTATTTATTACAGGCATTTATATGGCGTTGATCATTTTTGCAGCTACTGTGTTAAGGTGCCCATACACTGCATGATTATCGTACGAGAATCGAGGGAAATCCCGCAATCTTACGATAATCGCAAAGTGTATGCAAGGCGTGAGACCGTTTCTACTGTACGGTCGTACGTCTTCCGTCGAACAAGCAGCCTGGAAAACCCTCAGGGGGGCGGGCTTGCGATTATCGCAATTACGATCTGCCTTTCCAAGATGGGCAGATCGTACGTTTTTTTAATTACTTTACAACCCTCGCAAAACAAAAGTCCTGCGAGGGTTGTAAAGTGTATGGCTACCTTTACACTCACATCAGTCCCTGCCCTCAAGGAGATTACAATCCAAGTTTCCTATGTTACATGCAGACAGGAGCCAACTTAATCTGAGAGCAAGTCTTTTGAGTGTGGGAGGAAACCAGGGTGCCTGGAGATAACCCACACAATCACAAGAGGAACATGCAAACTCTTGAGGAATTTTCAAACCAAGGACCCCAGTGCTGCAAGGCAGAAGTGCTAACTATCAAGCCTTGGTGCTGTGCACTATATTGTATGTACTGTATATCTGTTGTTACAACCAAACCCTGTGTGCCTACAGGTTGAGAATGCCAAATAAAATATGACCAAACCCATAAGGAAGGGGGATGAATGTCTAAAGGAAAGGTGTGCTGTATATTGCTTTTTTTGGATCTGTCTCTTCGGAAGCCCAGAAAATGATAGAGTCACACAACAAGGTCACAACTAAGCAAAGTAAGGGTTAAGTACAACTAGCCAAGACAATAACAAGGTTTGTACCTTAGTACTGTTGGTTAGCGATGTCTTTGTACTACTCAGATGCACTTTAAGTTCTCTTCATACCAGTGTGGTATAGTATTCTGTGTGTTAGCATGCAGTATTCAATGCATTAACACGTGTTGAATAAAAGATAGCCCATTCATTTTGAATGGGCTGCCCATGCACCTAAAACTGAACATGTACCTTTTTTTCAACTGTATATTCCCATCGGTGCGTTGCAGTGCACTGCAACTGAAGTGTGTTAGGATGCATCCAAAGTGCATTAAGGTGTCAGTGAAAATGAATGGGATTGTAATGTACAGCAGATTGAGTATTATGGTAACATGAAATATAACACATGCTTCACTGCACATTCTGAACGACATAAGTATGAAGACTGCCTCATTCTCAGTAACCAAAGCATAGATTTGAAGACTGCCTCATTCTTCATTTTCATCTTTATCCTGATGCACACCTAAACAACCTATTATTACTAGCAACTGATGCACTGGAAGACCTAGGCTAGTATAAACAATTCTGCAGATTTCAGAATACTGCATGGACTGAATGACACCTTGTGGACACATAGGTACAGTGCTTTCTACCCAAGGTCGCCAGTAACCTGGAAACACACATCGTTCACCATGTACATCTGTACAATGATAAGGCAAACATATCATGGGGAGATCAGACTCATTTTTATAAACAATTCTTATTATAGGCTCTTGATCTTCTGTACAGAAATATCTTATGCAAAATGTATTATTTTTTTTAAAGAAAATATACACGTTGTCAGTAAACTGAAATAAAGATGTCAAAATGTTTTTAAAAACAAATTTCAAAACAAACATGCCAAGGAAATTACCAACTAAACGTATTAAATCAACGTCAAGAAATAGAAAACAGATTCCATGTTTCCACTGTCACTTATGATGCACACAACCGTATTTGTAAACTTCACGGTATCAAATGTACATAGAATAGATATTTTTCCTTGTAGTCTTCTTTTCTCCAATTCAAAACAATCTTTACCATAATATATAAAAGTAATAAATAGACACTAAATATAAGAAAACGGGTACAAGTTTATGCTGATGTGGTTACTCTGTTACCATGCCCATTCAGGACAAAGTGACAACCTCCCACTTACTGATACCCGCCTTTCCAGGCTCCTATGCCAGTCACTTCCACTGTTGGAGCCGGCAGTGCAAACCACATGTAAGCTCTGTACTGGACTGTGTCAAAGTTTACATAGTAAAAGAAACAGGTCACCAGCACTCGTTTAGAATAAATATGTTCTTTTTTAATGGACAATTGTGTCACTACAATCAACAGAGCCGACGTTTCGGGGCCGCACAGGGTCCCTTCTTCAAGGCAGTAAAATTGTGAAAATTTTAAAATTGGGTCACAATTTTACTGCCTTGAAGAAGGGACCCTGTGCGGCCCCGAAACGTCGGCTCTGTTGATTGTAGTGACACAATTGTCCATTAAAAAAGGACATATTTATTCTAAACGAGTGCTTGTGACCTGTTTCTTTTACTTCGTATTTTGCACGGTGTCATCCGTGATAGTCATTGCGAGCACCACCGTTCTTATTTGGCCAGGACTGCTGTAAGGTGTGCGGAAAGGGCCCCCACCACCTGAAAAAAAGTTTACATAGGGTTACATTCCTCTTCATGTGATAGTGTCCAGTCCTGGCGATTGGCTCCTCAGGACTGCATCCCATCCTGGGAAAAGGCCATATGCTCCCCCTTACCCAGAAGGAATGGGTATTTACCAAGGACTCTGACAAAGCAAAGGAGTGGTGGGGGATGGCAGCAAGGGTGAACATTAGCAGATGGGGGCTGTTCTTACAAAAGATCCTGTCATCTTACTCTGGATGGGTAAAGTGAGAGATTCTCTTTAAGGCTGTGGATTACCTTCACCTCACCTAAACTGCATTTTATTTAAAAGGAACCTATAAGGAGAGAAAAATAGGAGTTTCTCAAAAGTATTCTTACCATTCCTTTGCCACTTGTCACTGTCCTGGAGCAAGCATGTATACATCAGGTGTTATAAAACCTCATGTTTCTTCCATGGGTCAGTGACTTGCTTAGCAGTCAAGCAAGAAGGATGAAATTCAGCAAAGGTAGCACCGGGATTTCTATCTGGACTGGTTCCTTGTGAGCCCTTCTATGGGGCTACGCTAATATCGGTTGTGCTATGTAGAGATGCATGTGGAATAAAGTTTGAATTTCTTTGGAAGAATATCGTGTGCTGGTTCCACAGTTTTTGAGCCTATTACTCTGGAAGAGAGTCATCCGTGCACCGAATGTGGATTGCAGGGACGTATGATAGGGGTGAGCTGTGCGCTTCGTGTTTTCAGTCTACACTATGCTAATAAGACCCCCTTCATTAGCCATGACATGTTGTCATGGAATGCATTCTGCATATCTCTAGCCATGTTATTTGGAATGCTCTATACTAGTGGCTGATAGTTCTTACAGAACACAAATATATAAAAAACAAACAACAAACTTGAAAATATGTATACAAGGGAATGACTTCCTGTGATATCTGGAATTTTACTGCCAGAATATTTGAATATTACTAGTGGCAACAGTCTAGAATGGAATGTGCCATGTCTAGCAGGGTAACTGTCCTGCTCCCCTTTCTATATACCAAAATATATTCTCCATACTCATAGTATGGTTAGCCACACTCCCTACCAGCTTAAAAGGGCTGGTGATATGGCCACCAGTATGCAAAAATATGGCCACCACTATGCAGAGCAGAGCCACCAGCAACTCAACTTTACAGTCAGTAGTCTATAATACGTTATAAAATTAGGTAAAATCCCATTGCACTGCATGTTTCCTTTGCAGTTGGCAAAAGAGAAAAGGATAACAATTCAGGGAATATGATCAATGTTCTGGTCCCTAACACTTACTTAGAAACCGTTATCTGAAGTTCAAATGAAAATGTACTCTATCTGAAGTGCACAAACAGCTTACCATCTTTATGTTTTCTTTGTTACTTACACAGCCTTCATCACATGTAATAGAAAGAATTCAAGTAAATCAACCTTGAGATGCCAAGTAATTGTTACAATCAATACATCTGGTGCATTTTTGTTGTCCTCACAGCGTTAGCTGAGTAAATCAGTAAAGAGAGCTTCTACATGTAATTTCAGTCAACGTTAACAGTCTGATCAACAGAATATTGAATGTAGGGGTTGACAGTAAAGAGTGCACAGTACTAAACAATTTGCAGTTTTTCAAATGGTTTAACTATGAAATACAATTACAAAAATGAAGACGGGGAGCATTCTTATGAAGGACTCACCTGTCTATCTACTTCTGGGAGTAAGAGCAGAAGGTACTGCTGAAAATGCTGAGGTAAAGATGCAAATGTATGCTTGTTTATTAAAGCCCTCAGGTTAGTGTTCACTAAAATTGATCCTGGAGTTTCTATGTCAATGTCTTCTGCTTTGGTCCATTTCAAATGCCCTATTATAAAGAAAACAAAGATATTATGACTCAGTGGTAGCTCTGAAATGTAGTTCTAATAGGCTTAATCAAAAGGTGCAAGTAGTCACAAACAGAATCCAGTTTTATCTGTTCTTTACAGGGTTAATTACAACATCTACAGAGGACAGCCTAGTCCCGATTCTTCGATATTTACATTCAGCTATGAATGGGTCAGCCTATTTGTGTAACCTTTCCCACCACAGCTATAGCAAACGCACATCCAATCAACTGTATTTTCATATACAGAGATCATTTTAAAATAGGAAAAGAGGAGGAAAGAAAGTAATTTCATAGAAGATATAAATAATATTTAATAATGTTATATAAACACTGGCATATTAAACTGCTCAAGGTAAAATGGTTACTACTGGTCGCAGAAGTCTCTCAATTTGCTCTCATTTACCCTTTGAAACAGGATTAACTCATCTATGGACAGTCATTTTCTGAAGAGGAGCTAAATCCAAGACAAAAATTTTATATATTGCAGCACACCAGTCACTGGATGATTGGTTGTCTTTTTTTTAGGTTAGAACATTTTAGCAAATACAGAAAATACCTGATAATCTTGCCAGAAATGTGGTGTCCTTGCCATCCACAGTGAGATGGTCAAGAAGCATAAAATAATCTTATACCCTTCCTGTAAACTACTAGTCTCCCCGCCTCCATGTAATGGGGATAAATAAAGGCAAAAATATTCATAGATACCGCGGGGAAGTGAGCATAACCGCCAAGGGACGAACGTGTATTATTCACAGAATAACCCATTAAAAAAAAAAAAGGAAAAAGGCCCGAAACTATTCACTAATGCGGTCACCTCGTATAAGGACAATATATTACATTTTGCTTTTTAAGTTTGGATACACTTAAAAAGAGCAGTGTCTGTTGGCAGCTGGATGAGGTAAATGCACACTATTACAATTTATTTAGCATTAGATACTGGGTTAAGGTTTGGGGAGGGTTTATGTTAGGGAACAGGTTAAAGTGGATGTCAACCTCACTTTTTATGTAGTTGTGGATAGAGAGGGAAGGGGAAGGATTAGAACTCTTGGCTTTATACTGCTATCTGGGTCTCTGTTAGGCAGATTCACCCTACTTACTGCCCCAGTGACAACAGTTTCATGATACAGGAAGTGGGGGAAAATCTCTAACTGCAAAACGTAAATTAAATTGCAATTTTTTTCTTTTTTCTTTCTTTTATTCCCGTAGGGATGATCATGGCCACGGTCACTATGCCAGCAAGCGAGGAAAATTCTCTGCAACAGTGCCCCAGATAACAGTAAAAATCTGACAGAGGTTCTTATTGCTTGACAAACATTTTATGTATTAGGGCTGAGGTTAACCACTTGAGTCCTCAGTGCCATTTTCTGGGAGAGCGGCTGTTCATCCTAATGAGGTCACAGCACTTCCTGTCAGTATGGAGGCTTGGGCAGAGCTGTTGCAGTTCTGTCCAGTCTTTCTCTACAGAAGTTGATCAACTGCTATAGTGATCTACTGCTGAATGATTGCAGTCAGCAAAGGGTTACTAAAGGAACTGAAGGTCGCTGCACAGCTGCATGGGGGTGTCTGGATCTACTCAAGAAATTAGAGACCCCAGGATACAGGGAACCCTGGCAAATCTAGAACAAAGAGTGGAGCTATATTGGAAAAAATGAGCATCAATAAACCTGCTAGGGTACAAGGTAATAAATGACACAGCAGGACAATAGACAGCCTGCAACAGGAAAAAGTGGAAGTGTACCTTCATGTAGAGGGTTGAGCAGATAATACAGTGATTTTTTGACCTGGAGATCTGCCTCTTCAGTGGAAGGCAGACTGTGATTGTCTACAAGTTACTATTGAAGAAGCAGATGAAGAATGGGGTTGTTCTGCCCCATCTACAGACCTTCTGCTCTGAACTGTATACTCTGACCACCAGAGATAGCGATAATGACATTGTCAAGGACAAAACTGAAGAGACGTCTACCTTTAAAGGGTGAGTAAATTAAATGTTTAAGGGAATCCTCAGCATGCTAGACAAGAAGCTAAAGCCCCCTATGCATCTGGACAGACATTATGCTCATGCAAAACACAAGCTTAGATGCTTGCAAGAGACCAATCGCAGCTATAATGCAGTGTCTTACAGTATCTTTTCCAAAAGCTCTAGGTTATGGGGACTTGACCTTGAGATGAAGCGATCTCTTTTTTTAAAACCATTAACCCACTGACATGGATGCACAAATCTGAGTCACACTCAACAAAGATCAATTACCCCTGATAACTACCCCTCTAATTGATAGGCAGTGAAATCCTTTAAGGTAAGAATCAATAACATTTTTGGTGGTATTTTCATAAGGCCCGGAGCGTTAACAGAGGATAGACCATTTCTCAATATTCCTCTCACAGGGAAAATGTACTGACCATTTCTCAATATTCCTCTCACAGGGAAAATGTACTGCAAATTGTCAGGAAGTAGCCATGACTCCACAGATTGTTTTCAGTCCCCATTAAGGAAGGTTTAGAACTCCCATTACATGAATGTAAAAGGGAGGTCTTTGTAGTCGCAGCTCTAAAAGATCCAATGTCTGGAAGAGCAGGCTGATCCCCTAATTGCAGAGTAGAACACATTGCATTAATCAGAGGATCGAGAATTCCTTGTAAACCTGAGCCATACGGGACCAGCTGGAATAAAGGCTCTTCATGAAAACATTGTGAAAGCTCTGAATTTTATATTGTACTAGGGTCCCAAGGTATACTTAGAGGTGAAGGCACAGTAGTAGGTTCTGTTGTAGAATGCACTGGAGTGCGTGGCCATTTGGCGGCCACTGATGTTATGTATATGCATGTGCCCTGGAGTTACATTATTTCCACCCTCAGATGAACTCTTGCTTGTTAAAATTATACTAAAAACTATAGAGAGAAATACGTTTTATTTAAGTTAACTTTAAGGCTTTATGTTCTCCGTAAAGCATGAAGGGCCATGCAGGCAGCTCATGTAAGTATATTGAGATGCAGAGAGCTTCCAGGAGCACAGAGTTTTGACAGTAGCACACGGACGGTGCATGGACCAGAATCCATCATTTGCCCAAGGCTGTACACTGTCTGTGTGTAGCTGCCAAATCTTGGGAGTTGTGAGAAGTAGACTGTGAGGGCGCACAGCTACTGCGTCTACATAGACTCCATAACACAGCATGTTACTCTCCTGCGATTATGTCCCAATAAAAGCAATTTGAGTCATGCCACTGCAAATTGCCCATATGCCATATTATCATACCTGAAGATTTAAGCAAGGTATTAGAAAAGATGGGAGGATCTACACAAACAATTAGAATACAATAAAGTGCAGTATAGTAAAAGACAGGAAATAGACTGAAAGTGTAATTTTATTTTACATAAAAAAATGTGAATTGGTGAAGTAGCAATGAAGGGCACTGAAGTGTACCCAATTCTGTATCAAATGACACTGTCTAATATGCCTAGAAGTGTTCACATGTGCACAGGCAAACTCTTATTAGACCTTTTAAAGTTCCAGAAATATATCACTGCAAAATCTATCAAGAAGTGCAGACAGCTAGGGCCAAAAGTAATCCCAGTAAAGTCAGCAACACGCAAAACAGTAGTTCTCGATCAGCCCTAAGTCACTGTTCAAACTCGCTTTGTGTGTGAACATGCATCAAAGCGCGCAAATTGGCGCACATTCATGCAACACAGAAAAAAATGTGACATGATTGCGGTGTCATTGCTTGTTAATGGCACCCCTAAAGCGGCAAGTAAAATGCATGGCTTTGTCCCCACGTTGACGTGCGCTAAACATGCAAAAGTGTGTGGTAAAAGAAAAGTGTGAAGCTCGCAGCTGCATGAACTTCTTTGCCACGTTTGTTGTGTGTGGGGCAGCCCATTAAAATGAATTGGCTGACGCGTGGAAAAACACGCCATGGGCTCAGTGTAAGCAGAGGCCTGTAAAGGTGATTAGTATCATTTAAACTGTTACTACAAAACATGTGGAGCATTATTTTTGTGTAAATTAAATATAATAAGTAGAAATTCACAAAGTACATATATTACTAAGTTTAGTAGGGCAGCAAGATTTTCTAGTCCTTCTTGTACTATCACAGTGATGTAACTTTGAGCCTAGCAAGAATTGTTTAAAAACAAGCCATGCATTACCATCACTTACCTAAACCTGATTTTTTAAGCCGTTTCAAGTGCTGGCTTATTTGTTTGCCAGGGGGGGATTTTTGCCCTTGCTTGGTTTCCTTATCAGAACTGTCTGCTTCACCATTTTTTGATTCAGACCCTTGGGGAGGAGGAAAGAAAATGCAAATTCAAATTTATATGGCTCCCTTAGGTTTACAAAGATGTCATCTTGGTTGTGTTTTTTTGTTTATTCTTTTTTTCTTTCAGTACACTACAGACAAGAGGATGTGAAATCAGATAAAATACAGATAAAATACCGTAATCAATAACTTGCAGAGCGTTACAATAGATAAGAGAAATTGTGTCCTGCTAACGCATTGCTTTGAAGACTATCCCCACAGAGGATGTACTTGCTCCTGGTATTATCCTTGTTAAGCTAGTATAACAGTTATCCCCTTCTGATCGCTGTCATCAAACTTCACTGTTATTTGCACACATACAATCAGAGCTTGGAGCAACATTGAATTTTTTATCATATATATTACCTTACTTATACTATCCTTTTAAAAAAAAAAAAAAGTCATAGTTAGTGGTTATGAACGAAGGAAAACATGACACTTAAAAAAAGCTAAGACAACAGTCTCTGCACAAATGTGTTATGCATCTACAACAAAAAATCTAAATACTGTAATTCTACCTTAAACAAACTTTTACAATTTGTTTTTACTAATGTAAAGTAAGAACAGGTATATATCTAAATACTCATAAAAACTCAATACAAAATTGCAGTCATTATTGCTATTTGAAAAAAACCTACAAACCAAAAGACATAAATAAATATACCACAGTGGTCAAAATAAAAACAATTGTTGAATAAGCAAATATAAAACTTTAAAGTAACAGTTAAAAATACAGGTGTAAAGAAACACAAATGTTTAAATAAAAAGAAAAGAAATATTTTTTCATATATAAAACATAAAAAACAACACTGTGTGTAACCATTCGTGGATGCAGATGAGGGACAGAGAAAAAATATATAGTGATAATAGGTGTACATATTGAATAAACTCTAGCCCAATATCAGACAGCGACGAGTACAAATACATGCACAGTGTATTTGTTAAGGTTCACAAAGGCAAACACACAAAATAACAGTGTGTAAAAGAACTCTATTTGCAGGCATTTAGCGCCAGCATGTGGTCCGGTATTACATTTCTTCAACCAGCCTACAATGATTGGATTCCTGTATCTTTCTGCTGCAGCCGAACTGTTCTGTTATGTGTTCTGAATTCTAACGTATACTTATGCATGTATAGGTATGAGCTTGTATCTACAAATAACTATCTGTGAATTTTAGAAAACTAGGAAAAGAGCAGCAATTCTGCCTTATTATTCAGCTCTCCCTCTATCTCACCGCCCTCCTTCCACAAAGCTTTAGCGCATGGATTTTCTCATCAAATGTGTAGTCTGTTTCATCTTTACCTGAAGGTGAATCTGACTGCTCATCGGACACCTTTAAAGGCGTCAGGACGACACGAGGGACAGTCTTGTTTACCATCATAGAGACCCCATTTCTTCTTTTCTGCTGCTGCCTCAAAGCCTAAACAAAGGAAAGAATACAGTGTTAGGTTTACCAGCAACACCAGCCGGCACAATATCAAAACAAGCATTCAATCACCAGCACATTAGCTGTATTCACAGCGTACAGTCTCTGTCTGCTTTACAGGTGCCAGTCCTCATAAACGATACCCTGATCGCCCCTAGACAAAGCAAAACGAAAACTTGGACTTCTAAACACAATCAGACGGCACCTAACTGCATTACTGTCACAGCTCATCACAACAAAGGCATCTGTAGCTGACTGTACTACCTCCAGATCACCACACCATGATTTTCAAGTCAAATACACAGCGTTAAGTGTTTAAAAAAAAAAAATCAGGCTGGAGAACAGTTTGTGTATGGCTGCACATCTCTCGCAGGTGCTTCTGCTTCGCTATCCTGCTCAGTCAATCAAGTTAAACAGAGAGAGTGTCATCAGTATGTACAGCATGTAAGGACTACAGTATTGATGCACTTGCTCAGCCGTGTGGAGTGCTGCACAAAAATCACTGAACAAGGCAGGAATCGTTTATTCCAGAGAAGGAATCGCTCCCAGCCTTGGAATACTTGCAGCTCTTGCAGGGCTTCTGTCTGCGTTTGCTTTGGGGATTAACCTTCAAGCTACCAACAGGAGATTAAAAAATCCAGCCATTCGAAAGAGGGAAAAAAAAAAAAGACAGATCCTGGTCACCGACAACGCACGAAATTGCTACAGATGAGCTAATGTTTTCTAAAGATCTGTTCATTATCCATAACAGGCCAAGAGCTCAATTGCTCTTTGTTTGTGTGTTTCTAAGGATACAATTGTAAAAGATTTACAAGTTCAAGGCAATGTATGACAAGTCGGTTAATTTTTGTTTGTATTTTCCCCCGGCAAGCTGTTTTTAACTGAAAAGAGCAAATCAACAAAAGATGAACACATCAGCAAATAAACTGACAGGACGATCGCAGCATGGAAAGAAATATTGAAATGACACAACGGACTGCTCAAGTGTGTAACGTTATAAAACCATCAACACATAACAGCGCATTTTACGCATAGTTATGCGCATTAACTCTGCTACTCATGTTTTTCAAAATTACCCAACTGTTACCGATATAATCCATGCTTACAAGACGAATTATTCATGCCCTTCAATAGCAGCCCTTTATAAAATAGACATTCATTGCTGCTTCCATTCCTTCTCAATGTGGGAGGGGAACACAGGCCAATAACAGTGTATTATGAAACCTTGGGGGTGGTTCAAAAAGCAGGGGGAAAAAGCCAAACTAAATATGCTTCAATGAAAGGATACAAAACAAAAAGTTTAGCCTCGACGACAATACATTCACAATCAGAGCTCAGATCCAATTGTCCAAAATGTCTCACGGAAAAAGACACAGAAGAAGTAAAAGCCCCAGGCAGTATTCCTACAGACTATGCACCAAGATAATGGGGGAAGGGAAGTTTGATTCCATCAGTTAGCCTTTCTTAATTATGACCAAAGCGGCAGCATATGCTAATCTGTCAACTTCCTCTTCATTTCTTTCAAATACAACAATTTAATAAAAATCACAATGTTGTCTTTCTCTAAGTACATCTTATTCATCAATGTAGAACCAAGCACGGAATAACAGAAAAACTAGAAAGAAATCCAGAAATAAACATTATTGATTATATTGTTTATCACTGTCTGATGTATGTAGATCTTCTCATATGACATCTATAGAAATGGGCTACTTTGTTCATGTTCAGTATTTATCGGCTTGCATGGTGCTCTCTTCTAGGAAAATAATTATTATAACTGAAGAATTTCATGTTCCATTTGTAATGTCTAATATTGTTGATAAAAGGTTTATATTAGGATGGAAAGAAAAAGAAAAAAAAAAAAGGAAAGAAACAGGGAAAGCAAATGAGAGTATGAAAAGGGCTTAGGGAGTGTTACACAAAATAACAGGGAAAAGACAAACAAGGGAGGAAGATACCAATTCAGCACTGCTGGTGGCATGTTGGTGAATACAGATATCAATTATTTTGGGTAGATGTGGTAGAACATTAAAGAATAAATATTTATTTTTAAATTAACCATTGCAGTAGGGCTACCCTCACACTACATAGGTTAAGTACTTGTTTTGGTCTAGGGGTGACAAGAAACTAGATATACTCACCGGATTCGTGGTCCCGTGGCAGTCAGCGCTCACCTCTTTCCCACTCTGCCGCTGATGTGGTAGATCCCTAATGGGCATGCGTTAGACGCAATGACACCGTGGGTCCATAGACCACCAGAGCCCGGGAGAGAAGATGCTGCGGGGACCAGTCTAGCAGCCAAGTGGGATCAAGGATCAGATGAGTATACTTATTTATTTTTGCCCCTAGACCAAAACGTACTTAAACCTTGCATTTTTGTTAATAGACCTAAATCCTAACTGGATGAGTTAATTTGCCAAAGCACTGTGTAGCATCAACGTCCTATCTACACAAACTCAAGTGGCAGCTGCATGTCAATTCTTAGATTTACATCTAGCTAAACTTAGAGGAATGTAATTGAATAAAAAACAGGCAGTAATACCCTTCTTTTCTATCCTGAGTATCCAGCAATATATTTAAATAGATTCTATTGTAAGCAATATCATCTCAGGTGTCTTTTCTATTACAATGTTTGAAACCTCTGATATGGCTGTTCGTACCTTCCCTTAGAATGGTGAAATAATTTTACAGCTCTACCATATGTTCTACTTCCATCTGACAACTCCAACAAATGTTGGAAGCATCTGGTATACTTTCACAATAACCAGGGTCTTATATCATCTAGATACACATTAATAACAGATTTATCCTCTTCTGCACGAGGAGATTGGGTACCTGTGGGGGTTAACAGGCAGAATGTTGTCCAATGGCCTGATGTCATTCATAATTTTGTGCCAATTAGGAGTAAAGAACGGCTCATTGGACCTTATTTAAAAGGGAATGTGGGCAGAACAATTATATAATGGCAATTGTGTCAATGAAAGAAATGTACCTCTCAGAAATGGACTACAATAAATGGGAGGGTTGATCCAATCAATCCTTATCTTTGTTTTGTCAAGCTATCACATTTGATAAAGATTGTTTGAAAAAATTGAACCCGGGAATGATAATTTATCATTAGATGTGTGGCCTATATCAGACAAACGCTAGTAACCTGTTAGAAATTTTCATGTAATGGAAAACAAGAAAAAAAAAGTCTTAATATGCATTAGATAGGACTCATCCTATACAGTTTCTAATTCAGCTATATCATTTAGGCCTACACGGGATAACCAGCCAAACATAACAGTGACAGCAAGCTGCAGCGTCAGAGCTGCATCCATTTTCCTTCAGTCACGGTGCAGAAGAAGCCAATAACGCCGGCAAAGATACAAATGAAACTAAAGATTTAAAACATATACATCACTGAATGAAACATCTGCAAATGATATGCAGGTAAAAGTAAATATACCACCATAACATTTTTTTCAACTGCAGTTTAGAAGAAATCCGGTCAACGCTGAAAACCTTTCATTTTTTTTTTTCCAATGAAGTTTCAAATTTCTTAACTCTAGATGAGTTTCTCCATGAGACTGGGAAGCAAACTGCCTAAGGTGAAACTGACACCCTGCAAGTACAGGGAAGAGCTATGATAATATTCACAGTGCTGTAGCCTACAGATTTCTATTTAACTGGAGTCAACTCAGTAAATAATTAATTCTTACTAGATGCCAAGGTTACAGTATTTTATTACTGGTATTTATATAGTGCCGACAATTTACACAGCGCTTTACATAGTTATATGTTCACATCAGTCCCTGCACTCAAAAAGTTTACAATCTAAGGTCCTTATCTCACATGCATACATACAGGGCCGATATAGACAGGAGCCAATTAACCTTCCAGCATGTCTTTGGAGTGTGGGAGGAAACCGGAGAACCCGGAGGAAACCCACGCAAGCACACAGAGAACATGCAAACTCCTTGCATATAGTTATAACATTAAGCAGCATATTTATGAAGAAGTGAATGTGAAGTTCACCAAAAATTCACTGCCGCTGAATCACTAATTTAAAAACACATGCGCTAGGTAGTTTCACCTGCAGTAAATGTTTGGTGAATGCCACTGCTTTATAAATATACCTATATTGGGTGGGTTTTGTCCAATTCATATAAAATCATATTTGGACAATGTTTATCATCTATGACCAAGCTGACTGATCAAATCATTTGAAATATGACAATGACACGCTTTAATCAGTACTTTATGATACTGCAGGATTGTGCTTCAATGGATGGGAGGTGTCGTCTCTATAACATGTCACAGCAAATTTGGCTTTACAAGCCTTTCACGCTCTTCACTGGGACCCGAGTGTGTACATGGCTTAATCAATGCTTAACTGCCAGAGCTGGGAGTACATAAAAACAATACACTTCTATTTTGTACTCTGCAATAAAAGATGTCCTTTCAATTAGCTGTCGGACCTCTCAAAAAAGCACAAGGTTTACACTGCCTAGCGCCCTATACAAGATGTTTTTGCTCATATAATAAATGATCTAAGGATTCAGGCTCTTGGCTACCAGACAGCATGCGGCTCTTCTCATAATCTTTGCTTGCTTTATCTCAATTACGCTAAAAAAATAAAAAATAAACTGCAGATCAAATAGTTTTAGATATAATCATCAGTCATGTGACAACACAGATTCACATTTCCTAAAATACATATATATATTATGAGCTATCCTCTGTAATTCATTATGTCAGACGAGGTGTCTATTGTCTGCAATGAAATGCTGAACACTACCTGGCCAACGTATGCAGTGTTGAGAAGTCAATTACGTCTACTCAGTAAAATTATTTTACACTCAAATTGTACTAGTTTGATTTGTAATATTTCCAGAAATAACTACAACCCTTTCACTGAAAAACACTGTTGATAGGGTCCCAATACTCTTAACTTTGCACATGTGGACAAATTCAACCATTACAACAATAGTGTGTGCACTCCTGATTGT